CGATACTTCACTGGTGTTGATGTCATTTTTGATGAATATGTTTTGTATTTTCTGACACTTGCTCAGCCTTTGGATCTGGACTTTGGGTCGTCCCTTATACCACCGCCTCTTCCCTTATTGTCATATATTCTGTTGCCTATGGTGGTACCATCTACTTCTCTATTTCGTGTATACTATCATTGTCTTTGACCATCAACTGAGGTGTCCGTATCGTCTTCCTTGTCGTCTCCTGATCTTGGTCCATCAGGTAATTCTGACTCTTTACATATTTCTCTTGGAAAAGGTACTCGCTTATGTGTTACTAACCATCCCATTGTTCATTTTGTTTCATATGATGCCTTGTCTCTTGTCTTCTTTTTGTTTATCTCTTAACTGTCTACTATCTCTATTACTAAGCACTTCTAGGATGCGTTGTCTGATCTGGGCTAGAGGAAAGTTATAGAAGTGGAGATAGATGCCTTACATTATAATAGGACTTGGAATTTTGTTCTTTTACCTCCTGGTAAACAAATTGTTAGTTGTCGTTATCTATATATTATTAAATTTAATCCAGATGGTTTTGTGGAGTGTCTCAAAACCCGTCTTGTAGCTAAGAGTTTTACTCAGACCTATGGTGTTGATTAGAAGGAGACTTTATCTCCCGTTGCCAAAATCTCTTATGTTTGTATATTGATTTCTTTGGTTGCTAATCTTGATTGACCCTTGTTTCAGTTAGATGTCAAGAATGCTTTCCAACATGGTGATTTGGTTGAAGAGGTCTACATGGAGTAGGCACCTAGGTTTACTACGCAGGGGGAGTATTGTAAGCATGTGTGTAGGTTAAAGAAATCCTTTTATAGTTTGAAGCAGTCACCGAAGACATGGTTTGATAAATTTTCAGATGCAGTTTTAGAGATTGATCTTCTTCGATGTCAGACAAATCACTCTGTGTTTCATAGACAGGCGGATGCTGCATATCTTCTATTGGGGATTTATGTAGATGATAATGTGATTACTGAAAATGATTTATGAGTATTTGTTTGACTAGGAGTATTAATTAGAGTTTAACTAGGAAATTGTTGTAGAGGTTTAATAGGATAGAGATTTAAGAGTTTGATTATGAAACTCTTTTAGTATTTTAGTAGGAAAGTAGTTTTTTTATTTCGTAGGGGGACTTGACCTATAAATAATGGTGTAATTCTAACTATTTTGATTAGAGTGAGTAATATAATAAAAAGTGATTCTCTGTGGAGAATTTATGTGTTTCTTCACTGATTCCTTGCGAGGATGAGGTAAACCCCTTCCACCCTTTATTCTTTCTTCTTCTCTTTTTATTATCTGATGTCTAGTCCTTACGAATCTATATCAGTTTGGTATCAGAGCGAAACTCCGATCCATTAATCACACTTTGCTACCCTACTCTCTACATAGTTACTGTCTGTAGCCTTTCAACAAATAGTTTGTTGAATTTCATCGGAAAAAAAAAAACCACTGAAATTGAACCAGCAATTGCACAAACACCTGCAAGACTTTTGAAATTATAGATTGGACCCCTGAGATTTCTAAAATTACAGATTTGATCCCTGAAATTTTTGAAATTACACTTTCATTCCCGAAAGTTTTAGAAATTATAGTTTAGCCCCAAAAGTTTCTAAAATTAAAGTTTTGCCTCAGAATTTTTTAAAAATTATAGATTGACCCCAGAATTTAAAAAAAAAAAAATTCTCTAAATTCTACTTCAATCAAGATGGTGACCAATGCCGAGTTAAGTGCTAGAGTTGAAGAACATGATTCGCGATTAGATTTGCTCCAAGGATTAATGGATTCTCTCTAAGCATCTATCGCCTCGATAAAAGAAAATATGGAAGCCTTGATGGCCATTGTCCTAGATAAAAAGGGTAAAGGAGTGGAGATGCATGCAAATCATGATTTCTCCTCATCGGCTATCAATCAACAACCAATGCTCTCACAAGTTCCTCCACCGCAAGGTCCAGTTTGAGAAGACCTAAGATTGTTTGATTTTGATAAAATGGTTAAATTAGAGGTTGGAGATTTTCACGGGGATAATAATCCCGAGATATTCCTTGATTGGTTGCATAGCATTGAAAGCTTCTTCAGATGGTATCGTTTGACCGATGAGAGGAAGGCATTCTTTGCAGAATCAAAATTGAAGGGTATAGCAAGACTTTGGTGGGTAAAGTACCAACAAACTCACTTTGATAGATCATGGGATGATATGAAGACTGCTATGACCCGCTACTTTGCGCCTACTAATTATAAGTAACGAGCTCATTTACAGTTTACACAATTGAATCAAGGGAGTATGTCTGTGGAGGAGTACACAGGAAAGTTCTACAACTTAGCCACCCGATCAGAGTTCTCATGGATTGAGGATGTAATGATTGCCATTCACAGGCAAGATCTCAATTCACTAATTTCTTCGGGTTTAGCTGCAAGTAGACTTTACACCATAGCAGATGCAGTTCAGGTTGCCTATAAAATGGAAGATGAGTTGAAAAAAAGATCTTATATGAGATCTTCTATTGCTCCTTCAACCCGGATTGAGAGAATTGTCGTAAATGCAAATCAAGGTAAGTCCACTAATAAACCCCAAGAGAATACTTTTACTCCACATAAATCATCTTGGACTAGTGCTAATTCTTTTTCTCAAGGAAGTACTAATTCTAAGACGAGGTGCTTTAATTGTCATGGTTTTGGTCATCTCTCTTTTCAATGCTCTTCAAAATTTATTGCTGTGATTGAAAAGGAAGATTCTAAGGTACATAATGATTCTTATGAGCCAGAATTTGAAACAGAGATTGTAGAACCTCTTGATGTGGGTGAGGTTAATTTTGATGATTTGAATGATGATCATTTTATGGGTGTTTTCTGTCTTTTACTTATTGCTAATAAAGAAGTTGCTAACAATGATTTTATTCATCGAGGAAAAATCTTTCAAACGAGAGTTTGTTGTAAAGGACAGATATGTTCGTTAGCGATTGACATGGAAAGTTGCACAAATGTGGTATCAGAAGAGGTCGTGAAAAAGCTAAATTTGAAAGTTGAACCACATACAAAACCATATCATGTAGCATGAATTATTAATACGAAGCTGAAAGTTGATAAGAGATGTCCAATTACATTCACTATTGAAAGTCTTAAGGAAACCGTCATGTGTGATGTATTACCTCTCAAGCTTTGTCATATACTTTTAGGGCGTACTTAGATATGGGATCGTGATGCACTACACGCGGAGCGAGCTAATACCTATTCTTTTACAATTGGAAGAAAGAAATATACTCTTACTTGTGCTACTGATGCACGTACACTACAATTGAAGAAGAGTTCGTTATTGATTTAGAGAACTTCTCCATCATATGGTATTCTTGGCCCTCCTCCTTACTTGTCAGAGTCGAGTTCTCTTCAGCGGGGGAGAATTGATGGCGCAACCATTGGTTGGTTGGACCAATACAATCAACTTTGGAAGCCTTAACGAAAGACTAGGAATTTTTTGTCCAAAGGGAAGTGTAATTGGTAGTTTTATTATTATTATTTGATTTATTAGTATTTGTTTGACTAGGAGTATTAATTAGAGTTTAACTAGAAAGTTGTTATAGAGGTTTAGTAGGATAGAGATTTAAGAGTTTGATTATGAAACTCTTTTAGTATTTTAGTAGGACTTGACCTATAAATAATGGTGTAATCTCAACTATTTTGATTAGAGTGAGTAATATAATAAAAAGTGATTCTCTGTGGAGAATTTATGTGTTTCTTCGCCGATTCCTTACGAGGATGAGGTAAACCTCTTCCACCCTTTATTCTTTCTTTTTCTCTTTTTATTATCTGATTTCTAGTCCTTCCCAATCTACATCACAGTGGTAGCCAGGTCTAGTGCAAATTCTGAATAAAGAGCAATGACCTAGGAAGTTTGTGGGCTTATTTGGCTCCAAATTCTACCGAGTGAGCTCGGAATTCGTGGTGATGGGCCTATGAGACTGTACTTCCGGTTTAACATGATAGAACTAAACATATTAAGATTGATCGACAATTCAGCAAAAAGAAGTTGAACAAGGTTTTAATTTGCATGCCCTTTGTAAAATTCAAGAATCAGTTGACCGATATTTTCACAAAGGGACTTAATAGCAATTTTTTTCATCCTATCATTTTGCAAGTTAGGCATTAGGAACGTCTATGCACCAACTTGAGGGAGAGTGTTATGTTATATTAGACTGTGTAACCCTTGAGGGTAATTTTGGTGCTTTGTGGTTATATATGGATGTAGATGTGTAACCCTAACACACTACACTCTTCCCATAATCTCTTCTTTCTCTTAACTCTCTCTTCTCCTCTAAACCTAACAGTCTCGCAAACTAACTTAATTCTTCCGAGTAAATTGTGCTAGCAGCTATAGCTATTAAAATAGCAGATAGATCTGAGTTTACTTGCAGAGGCATCTCTTACAATGCGTGATAAATGGCATGATGAAGCCAAATAAAATTGAAAATGAAGTCCAGCACATAATGAAGAAGCATAAAATTTTTAAATATGCAGTAATGAGAGGAGAATCACATAACTATTAAACCGGGAGACAGTGGGTATGAGGAAATCCACCCAATGTTCACTTGTGTATGGCAGCGGGGTTAAATCAAATGGAAAGATCTTTAATGTCTGATGATAGTTTGTGGGAAATATCGAGGTTGCCTTAGTATATCAAAATAATTGCATTTTGGTTCCAATTCACTAGTAAATAGCACCTGCATGCAATTTGGAGCTGAGGAAAGGTGCTCCAGCTGCATAAAAAAGGACGAATGCTTTTTTACTTGCAACCTTCTATCATCCTTTGGCTGTTAGTCTGTTACATTTGTCTATCTTGTTCAAATTCCTTTCCATTTCCACTATCAACTCAAGTTATTCTTTTTCTGACTGATTAGAGTAACTATCCTCCTCGCTGCATAATGTCCTTCTCACTCGTTTCGTGTTTTTAATAGTTTTATTTCTCACATTGATCTTTATTTCACCAGGGTGTCCCTATGATTTATATGGGTGATGAATACGGGCACACAAAAGGAGGGAACAACAACACATATTGCCATGATAACTATGTGATAATCTGCTCCTTTTTGTAACTTCTATCCCTACAGATCCATTTGTATTTCTGTTCATTAATTGAAGCTTTGGCTGCAGATTAATTACTGCCGGTGGGATAAAAAGGAAGAGGCCTCATCTGACTTCTTCCGATTTTGCTGTCTTATGACAAAGTTCCGCCAGTAAGTTGCCTCCTTCCTACAAGGATTCTTGCTTGTTCACTTTCAATGGTTCTTTGACGACTTTCTTATATGATTCTCAGTGAATCTGAGTCACTTGGCTTAAATGACTTCCCAACAGCAGAAAGGTTACAGTGGCATGGTCATTCCCCTGGGTTGCCAGATTGGTCTGAAACAAGCCGATTTGTGGCATTAACATTGGTATATTTTCACCGTTTTAGCTCTTCTATTGTATGCGTATACATGATTCCTTTATTCATCTAGCTTTGCTACGGTCTAAAGCTCATTATGAAGACCTAAAGTCACAATAAGTGGAACACGAGCCATGTCTTTTTTGACTCAGCTCAGAGCAGTCTCAAGTATGACATTTCTGATGGTGGGTATATGATAGTTCCTCCCAAGTTATTTTGAATTTAAACTTTCAGATGTTTAGGCCAAGGTTGCCCGGAAAGCGGCAGTCTGTTAAAAAGTTCAGTATCATAAGGTTTAAAAAAGAAGTGATAGCTATTCTGGTACTGTATATCTCTATGTACTTAAGTTTGTGAGGAAGATAAATTTTCATGGGTAGACTATTATCAAGTTCGTATATGTCGGTGAGAAAACAACTTCAAAGAAAATAACCAATTGAAATTTCATATTTAAAATTTAAGGTCGGAATGAATCTTTCTATGCATAATAGATATGTTTTCTAAGTCAATGTATATACTTTATTCAGTGGCTCTCTCAGATTGTGTTAAACCTTGATCATCTTTCGAATGTAAACCACTCAATTTATGTGCCATCAAGAATGACTTGTGTTGCCTCACCTTTCCCTCAAGCATTCTGTATAAGTGACTTAATAGGAATAATTGCCGAGTCTTTTACCTTAGCATTTCCATGTTACCCCTGTAGCAACATGGGCAGGAGGGGAGAACAGAGATTGCCTTCTGGCTTTTTAGACACAACGATATCTGAGCTTGAAGTTTTTGCATGTTGGTCCACGCCTCCAGGGATGTGGTTCCTGAACCATTATAATGTTGCTTCATATTTTTTTTTACTAACTGTTCCTCTGCACAAATCCAAAATGCAGATCGACTCGGTGAAGGGAGAATTATATATTGCCTTCAACACTAGCCATTTGCCTGTCATTGTCGCATTGCCTGAACGGCCTGGTTACCGGTGGGAGCCCTTGGTTGACACCAGCAAGCCTGCACCGTATGATTTTCTCTGCAATGAGCTCCCGGAAAGGGAGACGGCGATCGAGCAGTATGCACATTTTCTTGATGCCAATTTCTACCCCATGCTCAGTTATTCTTCCATTATTCTGATACTCTCGCTCAATGATATTGCTTAGTTAATTCCATTAGATCCCAGAAATAAGTAAACAAAAACAATTTTGTTCTAAGATACCATATATAAAAATCTCGATCCTGTAGCATTGTACAGAACATAGCTTGTATATTTGTTTGTGAATGAATCTGTTGACTAGGAGGCATAGAATGTAATTATAGTAGAATCCTAGACAATATGGAAATCAGGGAGCTGTATCATGATGGTTGAAATATGAAATCACCTCTTATGCCTAAAATTTCAATTCTGATGTTTAATTTTGCTACAACTAGCCAACCCCAAAAATTTTGGGATGTGGCTTTTTGAGTCGAGTTTAAATTTGCTACAAATATTCTGTCAATGAAAGTCATTCCTAAATTATGGAAACTCATATTTCAGAGTTCAATCATTGAGTAGTAGCTTCAGCCAAATTTCACTCATTTAAATCTCACAAAAGGGTACCCAAAGTTGGCCAGAGAAATCCATAGTCTTTGCATTTTTTGTCCAACAAAACCACTAGCACACATCATCATATTTCTTATCCTGGAGTCATCACTGTATCGGGTCCTTGTTTGATGAATGTCTGCAAGTGAAACAGCCAGAGCCAACAAAAAGTAATACACATGAATTTAACGACAATTCAACACTGGCTTACTCTCATAAACAGAAGTTATGACGTATCTGGAAGGATCCGTTGGCTCTTGCAGAAATGCTTTACGACTATCAAAGGAGGCACAGACTGGTTGGAGCTAGTTTAGCAGCTCAATTTTGGTAACAAAGAGCAAATGGTAGTGTGTACTAGTTTCAAAGAAGTTCACCATAATATTTGATCAAATAAAGAAGGGAAAAGAGAGAGAGAAGAAAGAAAACATATTATGGCTACATTAATTTGTCATAGTGATTATCTTAGATGCACGATGCAAGTTCTTATATAGTAAGTTAGACTCTCTAACACCCTCCCTCAAATTCATGATGTGGTAGAAGAGAACATCAAGAGTTTATTAAGAAGAAAATAAAAACATGCAATGGTACGAGATTTCATAAAGAAATCTATTAATTACAGAGTGGAAGACACAAAAAAAAGAGAGATGGTGCTCAGTTGAAGAAGATGGTGCACAAAGCATATCATAAACATATAGTAAGATAACAATAAAATTAGATGAAGTAAATCGTAAAAAGATAGCAGAATCATGGTCACTGACGCAAAAGTTTGTCACAAATGACTGAAGAAAATTTGGCAAACTATGCACTAGGAGCATGTTTGAGGCCATATAAAGTTGTGAAGTTGACATACTTGACTAAGGTTATGATGTAATCTAGGAGGAGTCATAAAAACCTCTTCACTTAAATCTCCATGAAGAAAGACATTTTTCACATTCATATGTGACAAACTCTATTGGCAAATGGTTGCAATTATAATTACGATGCGAACAGTGATCATCTTTGCAACAGGAGCAAAGATCTCATCATAGTCTAGACCATACTCCTGAGGAAATCCATTGGCTACTAACTGAACCTTGTACTGTTCCACAGAACCATCAAACTTGGTTTTTATCTTATAAACTCACCTATAACCAATTATATGTTTACCAGGCAGTAAAATCACTAATTCCCAAACTCTAGTATTATGTAGGGCAAATAACTCTCATCCATAACTTATTGTCAAAAGTGGATCAAGTAAAACTTCCTTGTAGAAGGAGAGTTCAGATAGAGAGTGAATAGAAGTAAGACAAGAACAAAAGTCAGGATAGCAACAAGTGTTGGAGAAATCAAACCTATCTGAACATTTATGAGAGTGCTGAAGGTTGCGTGGGGTATGATCCATATTATCTGAACCAAAGTGGCAGAAGGAGAGAGGGGAGGCACAACATCCGTAGAGGAGACAACTAGAGTCCTACGAACATATGTATGCACAATAAGGGGACAAGAAACAATCAACTCAGAAGAGGGAGAATTTGACACAGTTATATTACCAACATATGTGTCATGAGAAATATTAGCAGGAAAGGGATCAATGTATACTATATCGGACTTATTTAGTGCGGGAGAATTGGATGGAATTGAAAAGAAAGGAATATGCTCCATAAAGCTAATATGGTGAGAGACAAAGTTTTTAGGTAATAGGATCATAGCAACGATACCCCTTTTGATCCTCACTATAACTAATAAAGACACATAAAACGAAGTGAGCATAAAGTTTGGTACAAAGAACACTAGGGAGCAAAATAAAGTAAGTACAATCAAACACTCGTAAAGAAAAGTAATTAGGTGGCTTATCACACAATATTTCAAATGGGGAGACTGTGGAGGTGAAAATAGTAGGAATGCAGTTGATTAAATGAACTGCTATATGAACTACTTTTTTCCAAAAGGAGCTGGGAACAAGTGCTGATAATAGAAGCGATCGGGCTGTCTCTAGTCTATGACGGTGTTTGTGCTCGACAAGACCATTCTACTCAGGTGTGTCAGTGTAAGAGGATTGATAAAGTATACCAGCATATTTCAACAAGTCACAAAAAGAAGTAAGAGTGTATTCGTTACCCTGATCACAACGAAAACATTTAATGACAACGGAATATTAAGTGCGTACCATGGTACGAAAAGTAGTGAAGATTTTAAATAATTTAGATTGACGCTTAATTAAGTATACCCAACAGTAACTGGTATAATCATTAATAAAGGAACAAAATATCTAAACCCTCCTTGTATAAGAATAGGAGTCGGTCCCCTTATATCAGAATGAACAAGAGCAAATGGTGTAAGAGAACGAGTTACACTTTTATAAAAATATAATGCAGTAAATTTAGCCAACTTGCATCCTTTATAATTAGAAATATCATGCCTCTCTAAACTACTTAAACTACCAATATAAACTAAAATGAGAAACATTACAAAGGCGAGAATGCCACAAGTAAGAGCTAGAAGACTATGGACTTAAAGGAAAAGAAAATAAATCAACAATAGTGATAACAACTTCTGAAACATGGACCTCCACCACCATATACAACCTTCCCTTTCTACGGTCTGCCCCAATCAACTTCTTGGATTGTGGATCCTGCACAAACCAGCCAGAAGAGAAAAACTGAACCAAAAATCTCGAGTTAAATAATTAATTGTCTGAGATTAAATTCAATGTGAATTGAGGAATGTAATAGATATCAAGATGCCTAAGATGAAAAGAAATACCTGTCCCAACACCTACCAAAGATATTTAAGTGTCATTAGCTGCAAGTACAGATATAGATGGAGGGGGATAATAGACGCAAATAAAGAAGAATCATTAGTCATATGATGTGTTGCAGCTGAATCAAAGACCAGGTGGTGCGAGGTATAACTGAATGGATTCAAGTGAATGTACCTACTGATGATATGATTGTGAGAGGACAAGACTGATGGAGAGAAAGTAGCTTCTACAATTGATCTGCAATCATACTCAGGCTGGAAACCGATGTAGGCTTAAAAGGCTGATTAAATGATCCCTTGACATTCTTATTCACTAATTTTGGATAGTGGGCGTTTTAGAGGCCCTTCTCACAACAGAAGTTATACTCATTTGAAGTTGCTCGACCTTAGTACTTACTCTGTGAACTTGGCTCCTTTGGGGGTACGGTTAATACCTTCTGATTTGGTCATGAAAGAACACATTTTCTAAAAAGTCCGAAGACGAACCTCTTCAGCCAAAGTTGATGAACCATTGCATCAACTGATGGTAATGGATGATGATGGAGGATCGAACCATGAAGCCCCTCAAAATCATCTATGAGTGTCATCAAGAATTGCACCAACCTCTCTACTCCTCTCTAAAAGTGTGGTATGCTTTATCAGTATTCAGTTCAGCAAGTTTAGCAAGTGCCAATTGATCCCAGTATCCATTCATAACTGAATAAAACTCCTATATGAGCCTATCACCTTGATGTGTAGCTCGAATTTCAAGCTTATGTTGATATATTTTCACAAAATTTGACTGTACAAACAAATGTGGCTGAATAATTTTAAATTTCCTTGGCGGTAGTAAATTTAGCCAAATGAACACCAATAGTCTGATCTACAGAGTTATTAGTCCAATTAATAATCTTGGCATTATTGACATCCCATTGGTTCTTCAAATCAACATGCTTTTCTGTCTTAGTGTTTGTTGGAGCTATCACAACACCATTCAACATAACTCCACATTTATTTACCCAATAATTTTTTTTTCCATTACATAAGGCTAATAAATAAAATTTGCACTAGTTAATTTTACACTGATGGCTTGAAGAGAATTTGAACCCCCACTTGCCATGACTAGATCACACAAATCAAAATCAAAACCAAGGCTCTCTAATTAACCAATATGCAATCACCCAAATAAATAAGCAATTCTTCAAACAAACAAAATAGAGGGCACAATTGAACAAATCAGAAGAAAAACAAACCAATTAATCAAACCGCAAGCTAAGGGATTACATTCACTATGAGAAGCAGCAAAAATTGCAGTCTTTGTTCAACGAAGAAAAGGAAGCACCAAACCAAAAGAGAAAACAAAACCAGCAACCAAAAGAGGAAACCAGAACTAGCAGCCAGGAGTTGACGGTGAACTAGAACAAGAAACAAGATACTTCCACCCAACCAGAAACAACGAACTAGAAACTACTATTTTTCTTTTGTCTACTACTACAATAAGGGAGGTTTTTCAATTTCGGGCTAAATTATATTAACACCATTGTAGATTGGTATAATTACATCAATATCCCCTTAGTTATCTGAAATATTACCGACACCTCCTATAGTTTACATGTCCATTTCACATGGTCTCCTTACTGTTAAGGGCATTGCTAACAATCCCAAAAAGTGATTACGTCATTCAATATTCTCTTCTTAATACCCATAGATTTGGTCCCCTTATGAGGGTGCACATGATATTTTTTGCCCCTTTGTAATATTTTTATGATTATCTATTTCTTTTGTCTACTATAATAAGGGAGGATTTTCAATTTTGAGATAAATTATAATGACACCACAATAAATTTGTATAATTACAAGAAC